CAGTCTTGACGTCACATTTTAAATGCTTAAAAACATAGCTTTAGCGTTAAAATCCAACTTGGCAACATTGGTTTTTGAAATCAGCATACTTTAATTAACAAGAATAAGTATGTTGCCATAAATCAGACAGAAATGCCCGTACCTTCACGATATGGGGTTCGGCCCACCAGTCTATTCTATCCACAATGTCCAGCACTTCTTCCGTAGCCCATACCACATATCTCTTCTTTCCAGATAGGACTACCCCATGCCCTCTAGCTCTCCACCAAGGACAGATGTCCCTGGGTTTCTTGTATCCCAATATCTTGTGATTCCCTGGTGGAATTCTCTCTATCCTATTCGCAGTCCCCTCCAAGAAGGAAATGTATAGGGAATTCTCTCGTTTGCGGAATGCCTTTGCTATCTCCATATGCTTTTCCATTTCTTCTTGTACCACTTTTCTTTCCTCTTTCTTCTTCACTCGTAGCTTTTTTTTCTTCTCTAGTAGCTCCTCGTGGAAAACCCTTGTCTCCTCTACCCATTCTTCTCCATCCAAAGCGTCCTCGATATCTAGTAGACGCTTCTCTCTCTTTCGCCTGGATAGAATGGATATCTCTCTATTGGACTGTATTTCGAAGATTTCGTAGGCACTCTTTTCCACGCCAATCGAATGTGCCTTTTTCTTTCTCCAAACCCACTCCACATACTCTGTGCTAGGTAGAAAATCTTCTATGCGTGGGGCATTGCTATGTACCCTGGCAGACATTGTAGACTCTGCTAGGACCGTGGGAGCGTCCTTGATGTAGCATCGTAGTGGTAGGACGTATATCGGATCCAAGGATACTATGTCTATTCGAAATATTGGGCATCTTCGGAACCCAAACTCTGCCATAGTCCAAAGTATGGACTCTTCCCATTTTTCTCCTCCTCGCACTCGAACCCCTACTATGCGCCTAGTGTTTGTATGGCAATACCATGCAAGGAAGATCTCCTTTGTTTCCCCACAAGCAACCAATAGACATCTATCCAAATGCGAAGAGAGATTTTTCCACAGGTTTTTTGGGGGCTGCACTACAAATACTTCTCCTAGAAATTCTAGAGTCTGGGATTTTCTGTTGGTATGCTCCGTAGAGAAATCCCTACCATACACAGAGACTTATCCTAGTGCAGCCTCTTTCTTGGACATCTGGATGCAGAAATGTCCTACGCAGATGCTCGTTGGGGCAATCTACATATTCTGCAAGCTTGCCACCCATAGGATTTTTCAGCTCTCCAGCTTCGAAATTCGAAACTATTTTGTTGTATACCTTTGTTCGCACTCCATTGCAAATCCATGTGCAGACATGCTCTCCAACACTATGCGTGTTGTCTAGTATGGTTCCTTCTCTAGGACCTCCTCTATGTTCCTTTTGGAATCCCATATCTAGCAAGTGCTCTACTAGTGCGTTCCTATCCAGAGTTCCAGAGAAGTCTTGGGTGTAGTCTACGGAGTATATCCCATAGCCATGCGGAGCTAGCAGCCTAGCAAACTTCCCAGCCTAGAAAAGGTTGCCGAAAATGGTTGCCGAAAAATAGGGGGTCTGTGCTCTATACTAATACACAAATAGTCAACTCTATTCTATCGTGTAGTATGGGAATGGTGAGTGCAAAGGCATGTGTCGTCTACTAGTATGGTCGAGCAGCAGCGAGACCATACTAGTAGAGGATACACGCTTTGCACTCACCATTCCCATACTTCTCTGTCTAGAAGTGCCTGATAAAACACGATCTACGGGTTTTTTGAACTGCTTAAAACACTCATGAACAATTTATAAGATTTTGGTTCAACTGGAGCCACCATACACGTCACGAACATGGATTTTTATACTTCGATAGAGATTTGACGTCACGGGCATGCGCAACCAGATTCAATAGAAGCTCCMACACGTTGGATATTGCGTGCCAAGGTAAAGACCGGCACGTTAGTCAAAGATCATTAGGGTTGACTATGACCTTGATGAAGCTCTATGTCTTCATCTAAACCATAGTTAATAGAGGGGAATGGTTAGGAAGGCCGGCACACTTCAAAGGGATAGGTTATTGTTTGAATTTTTCGAAGTCACGTGTCATTGACCGTGCAAAGCATTTTTTCAAGATGGCGTCCGCTGTGACATAAAGTTGCCTTTCTTGCTATTTTTCGAAGCGTTTTTTATGATCAAATCAGTTATAAATCGTTTWAAAATATATCAAARTACCTCATTAACAATGCCCGGTGATAACTGTTCTGTTGTTGGATGCGGAACGTGCCGGAATTCAAAAGGAATAGGCATCTGGAAGCTACCTGCACCAAGAAATGATGAATACAAGAAATGGAGACTCGACTGGCTGAATGAACTCACAAAGTATCGAGAAGTCGATAAACACTTCCAAAAATTGATTGACAACGATAGAGTCTACACATGTGAGAAGAATTTCGGTCCCGAACACATAGAACATTGTAAGTAATGAGCTGTTTTGATAAGTTTTAGTGTAGTAGTAACAGAACAAGCCGATAACAACGAAAAGCTACAAGCTCTCGTTTACTCTAACCCGTTAAATTTTTGTCATTCATCCTTTCTTTACTTATCTTTTTCCAGTTCAATCCGAGAAGATGACAAAGAAAAAGCCAAAATTTGGGGCTCTTCCAACCTTAAATATGCCACGAAAAAGCGTAAACACCACGAAGACTGTACCTAGGCAACCCAGGTCAATCGTCAAAGACCACGAGGAAGACTCAAAGAAAAGAAATGTATATAACCACTTCAATGAACTTTGTAAACGAGTGCAGTCTCTCAAAACTTTGGCCAAATGGAAATTAAA